GCGCCGGGGCCCCACAGCTGCGGCAGCGCCTGCTGCTGCTGCTGCTGCTGCTGCGCCAGCTGCTCCCCCTGCTGCAGCGCCAGCCCCTGCAGCCTGTGCAGCTCCCCCAGCGCCTCCCCCAGACTCTCCAGCGTCGCCTCCGACGCCGCGCCGCTCGCCTCCTCCAAAAAGGCCTTCTTCACTTTGGCCTGCGCGTTGTGCAGCAGCACCTGCGGCTCCAAAGCGTCCAGCACTTCCACCACCACTTCTGCTGCGGGCAGCAGCCGCTGCAGCTCCCCCAGCTTCGCGCGGACGGCCGCTGCGGGCCCGGGGGGGCCCCCCGCCGCGTCCGCGGGGCCCCTGCTGCTGCGCGCTGCTGCTGCTGCTGCGCCCCCCACTGCGGCCTGCGCAGCCGCGCCTGCGGCGCCGCCCCCGCCCGCGCGCCCCTGCAGCAGCCGCCGGCTCGCCAACACCCCGATCGCCAGCAGGTACAGCAGAGTCAGACTCAGTTCCCGCTTCCGCGTGGACCGCTTGCGCTGCGCCTCTGCTGCTGCGGCGACCAGTGGTCTGTCCGGAAGCGCAGCAGCAGCAGCGGCGGCAGCGCCGCCCGCCGCCCGCGCTGCCCCCCGCGGCTGCGCGGCCTCAACGCCCGGCGGCGCCTCCACGGCCACCGCCTCGCCCAAGACCCCCTCCTCCCCCGCGTACGCCCGAGCCATCGTCTTCTACGCGCGCCCCGCGAAGCCGCTCATGCTGCTGCTGCTGCAGCCCCTAAGTCCCGGGGGAGGGGCCTTCGGGGGCTCTCGATCCCGCACGAGGTGCAGCAGCAGCAGCAGCAGCACTCCAAAGCAGCGCACGGCGAGCCGTTCTCCCGCGAACCCGCTATAGCCAATCCTCCGGAAAAAACGGATATTATTTCACACAAAACTCGAAAAAAACTTTACTCTACTCCAGGTCGCCGCGGAACTCCACGCGTCGCCGCATCCCACCCAACCTCCAGCAACAGCTCAATCCCAGCCCCACGCGATCCAGCACAACTTGCTGCAACAACAACGCTACGCGCTTTTGCGCGCTGCAAACCCCCCGCCACCCTTTAAGAAATTCCCACTCGAGATTCAAATCCCAAACTTACAATGTTTGCAGTATTTCGACTTTTATAAAAGTGTGGCTACAAGCACCCCAGCACCAGCGCCCCCGTGTCCCAGGCGCCGCGCCAGAATTGCCAGCTGCGTACAGCGCGTCTTCCCGCGCCGAAACGATTTTTCAATGCAACTCTCCACAAACAACTCCCAAATTTGCTAATTGAGCGGCTCCGCTCTTTGAACAAATTTTGCAGTTCAACGAAAGGTTATAGTCCTAGCGGTCCACTCGGGTGACAGGCTCAGTGGCGAATTACCAGCGTCGCGGGCCGCTGGGCTCGGTGCAGCCTGAGACGGAGCTGACGCAGCTTCGCTCTTTCGCGCCCCTCTCAGCTTCAAATAGCGCTCCAAGAAGGAAACTTTTAAAGTTTGCAGCTCCGAAACTGCAGCGAGGAGCGGCTGTAGACGCCGCGCCAGAGTGCGAACTTTTCGCGTTTGCCACCCTCACACTCCAGCGATTAGCCCCGTGAGACACTAGAAAACAGGCGATCAGCTCGTCCAATGCAAATTAATTCGTCTCGGGAAGCTTGTCGCTAGCCCATAGGCCGGAGCTCCGCAGGAATCAGCGCAGCCCCGAGCTCGGGAGAGAAGTTGCAAAAAATGGCCCTGGGGGGCTTTGCAGCCTCCCTGGGTGCTGCGCATGCCCATTTGTAGCAGCAACAAGCACTTTCACGTTTGCAAGTCAACGCAGAGAACCTCTTCACAGCGTCTAAGCCACTAGCCTATGAAGATCGCCCCCGTATTTCACCTTAATGCCACTTTGAGAGCACGGGGCACTGAACTCTGTGCCATTTCTTTCGAGCTGTTTCCTCCAAAAATGCCGTCTTGCCGAGGTAGGTCACTTAGAACTCCTAAGGCGGCCAGCTAAGTCCTGCCTGCAGGGCGGGGCGAGTATGACTTCAGCTCCAAGTGTGGAAAGCAGCAACTCAATCGGGATTTTCCTGGCGGCTGTAGGCTTTTTACATGTCTATTCTCCTAAATAGATGTAAATGGATATGGAAAGAAGTCTAAAGCAGCTATACAAGTTCAGATCGATACTGCGCCAGTTAGATCTTCATTGTTTTACTCAGCCCATTCGCGCTACGGGAAACAGAAGCCTAAGGCTGTTTGACGCGCAACTTGTTACGCTGAAACACCCAGAATAAAGTAAGAGGCTTTTAGTGTCCTTACGTACGACAAGATAATGTTTGAGTCCCACGCTTAAGCGAAACTTCATGCCCCAGCAACGTGACAGCGGCACTCAGTGGCATTCCCTCTTCTTTGAGTAACAAAAGGCCGCGTACCTCAGCAGAAAAATCAAAAAGAAGTTTATGTAGGGATTGACTGCTGTTTAGGCAAGGAAAGAAGTGCCGGGGTCGCAACTGGAGTCATGATCCTTGCCCAGTTGAAACAATTCAGCTATTCACAAGTCCCAAAACAGTAGCTTGGTGAAATACCCTGTGACCTTCTTTACCAAGAAACTTTCTGATAGACCTGATGTTCAGAAATGGCCCATTTCAAATCCATAAGGTTCCTTGGCTCCTTCTCTCCCAGCAGTGCATGCAGGTATGCCCAGCCGGTTATTCTTCCACCATGCATAGCAGAACAGCCAGTATGAACAGGACAGCAGCTACAAGTGTTTATTTATTGCAAAAAGCTCTTATGGCACTGGCTATGCTGCGTGGATCTTGTTCTAGATGGCAGTAAGCTACTGCAGCTGTGCTGTGTACAGCAAAACGCACGAGAAATAAAAAGGACCTGCACGAGCTAGCCTTTCTGGGGCATTTTGTTTGCGGAAAAGGCAATAAAAAGCGCACAAGAAGTACTGCAGCATTAAAAAATGAATAAATATTAGCCAGAATCCTGATTTCTAGTATAAGCGGACGCGCGGGGCTGAATTTGGCATGGATTTGTGCAGCTCGTGCATGCTTCCGTTGCCTAAGCTTATGAACACGTCTTGCTTGCCACAAGAACTTACAAGTCCTTTAAAAATAAAACTCCAGTTGCTTTTTTTGCACCGTGGGCAGCAGCCAGCCTGCATTTAATCTGGCACAGAGCTCTAAAACTTTTTAGTCTTTTTCGGTCAGCCACCGAATGCAGAAGGAATGCAGTTCCTTCACCCATATCATTGTGCACTAAAACTCTTTTGCAAAAAAATTTAAATGCTTTTAACCTTGGCAGTTTGAGGAGAAGTAGCCAATCCATACTTTTGTTTGCATGTGAATAGGAAAACAACCAAACCCCACTTTCTTGAGCATTTTGGGGCTAAGTGCTACTGTCCTGAAGCCCAATAAACACATGATGTTTTAATTATTTTCGAGCCAGTGATGCAGCCTACTGGAAATACCAATAAGATGACTGACTAATAAAGCTTTAGCTGCTTCAATCAGCAGTTTCCTTCTTCCCGTGATTACCACTGCGGTGGAGGGAAGTGCCTCAGCCACCACCATTAGCAGCAACGAAATGATGTTCTCCAATTTAAAGGTAACTTTATTCTGAAAAAACTCATTTCGATAGTTCTCAAGGATATACTCTAAGAATATATCCTTGAGAGCTACGGCGGGCAAAGCCCCAGGTTCAATTCTGGATAGTTAAGGTCTATAGATGGAAAACCCGCTAAACGCAATGTTCCAAAATGTCTCATATTAATTCAATTTGCTGAGCATAAGCTTTGCATTCAAGAATTTCTTCTGGAGCTTCTGAATGCTCTCTGCTGCAGCCTCAAAGAAGAAAAACAAACTTGAGCTCGAGCCGGAAAGAAGAGAAATTGGTTTTCCAGCTTAAGAGCTTGGCAGCAACAGAGGCTCTAAAGCAATTCTGCTTCATTGACCTCTTTCTAACATTACTTCCATCTTTATTGAACTTCATTTTCTTGAGATTGTGCTGCTCCCCTGCTGGTAGTGGAGAAGTCTCGGGCATTTTTCATGCATTCAAAGGCATTTGAGTGGCCACTAAGACTCGCCATCATATAAGTCCACTTATGGCCTTTCTTTGCGGGATAATTTGCAAGTAAAACACCATTTGGAATAGTTTTTGGAGACAAGACAGAAAAGAGTCCAGAAATGAACTCATTCTGGCTTAGACCGGGGATGAAGTAAGTAGAGGCGAAGACGGAAGACTGGAGGAAAAAGCAGTTTGTATTGAGAAAGGTAATTACAAGTAGAAAAGCATAAATGCAGGAAAAACAAGAACGCCGGAGAAAGGCAATAGATGAGTGGCAGGCAAGAAAATGCAAAACTTGAAGATGGAAGGACATTTACACTGCAGCAAGTCGCTCTGCTGCTGCCAGTATTGTCAAATTAACTTTTTTTCTGAAAAGTATGAAGGCAAGATTGAAAGTGAATAACTAACAAGACCAGCTACAACTGAAGTATAAACGTCGTCCTGGGGTATGAGGTACATTAATTGCTGCTTTAGAAACCCTAATGCTGCTTTTACGTGAAGTTAATGCCTTTCCATCTTTAACTTTATTATGGAATAAAAAACAAACAGATTTTTCTCCACCATTTGAAGATGTAAATGTCCCACTGAGAGCTGCAGGCGGCTTTCTTGCGTGTGCAGGAGCCGCTTCATTGAGGGTAAAGAAAGCCTTCAAAACTTTCGAAAAAAATGGGATAAAACCCGCAAAATATGGAAAAAGAAAAATAATGGAAATGACAGAAAAGCATAGAAGAGAAAGAAATGACTAAAAAACAAAAAGAAAGAAAGAATGAAGTAAAGACTCTTTCAGTTAACCCAGAGAAGCCTGCATGAAGCTTTAGGACTGCATAAAGCCATTCCCTTACAGAAAGCAGCAAAAGATGAACTTTGTTTTTCTTTCTTTGGGCTTAATGCAAAGACTGTTTGCCAATTCTATTGCCATAATGAGCCTTTCTGTTGATGGCTGAGGCAAGGAAATGAGAAATGTGATCAAATTGAATTATAAAGAGTTCTAGATGCAGACAAAAGCACTTAATCAGAATCAGATAAACCTTTAAGAAAAAAACTGGTCTTTAAAAGAAGGCAATTGTTTCTTGCAACAAGTTGGAGCCTCAAAGGCAGCCCATGCGGACTTGGTGCTTTTCAACGAACACTCCGAAGCAGACTTTTGCTGGGAAAGCAGCACTTAAAAGACCCAAAAGGGTCTTTTTATTTAATCCTTTACAGTTTATTTATGATTTAATGAAATATAAAGCAGTATAAAGCCTAGTTGGGGCCTGCGCAAAGACAAATCGTCTGGGAATGCAGAAAAAGAAGTGCCAGGCAGCACGAAGCGAAAGCAGCTGACTCAAACCCGAATTCAGGGTTTTCTAAGAAGCCGCTGCTTTTTAAATAAACCCTTTTGGGACCTCTTGAAATCAGACTAAGTTGCTTTTTTAAAAGAAAGCTTTCTAGGCTGGCACTTGTGCAAAATGCAGCTAACAAGAGCCTCAGACTCTTCAGCAGCACACGCATGCACATTTGCTGCTGGCTGCCTCCTCCCCTTTGGGGCAGCAGCAGCTCGTGTCCTGTTTAGCTGCAGCAGCCGTTGCTGCTGCTTCGAAAGGCGAAGGGACGAACGGCAGCTGCTGCACGCTGGTTGTCTCCGGTGCTCTGTAGACTGCAGCAAAGTCTTGATGCGGTGCTGCTGCTGCTGCTGCTGCTGCTGCCGTTTCCGTTGGGTATTGGCTGCCAGCAGCAACATAATACCATTCTTGCGGCAGCTCCTGCCGTGGCTGCATTAGCTGCTGCTGCAGCCACACTTCTTCCAGAGGGTGAGGAACATCTGTGAGCAGCGGGTCCTGCTGCAGCTCCTGCTGCTGCAGCTCCTGCATTTGCTTCTGCGGCTGCTTTAGGAACTCTTCAGGGACTGAGTACGACAGCTGCCACAGGGGGACCTCCACTGAGCTTTTTGCTGCTGCTTCAGAAGCATTAGCACCAGCGGCAGCAGCAGCAGCTCCTGCTGCTGCTGCTGCTTGCGGCAATTCATATAGTTCGTAGGGCACGGCCATTTGAGGAACAGCGCATTCCTGTTGGCGCTGTGCTATCAGCTCGTACTGCTGCTGCTGCTGATACTGCTGCTGCTGCTGATACTGCTGCTGCTCCTGCTGGTACTGCTGCTGCGGCTGGTACTGCTGCGGCTCCTCCTGCTGCTGCTGCTGCTGCTGCAGGTATTCCTCCAGCGCCTGCCTCACCAGCAGCTGATCCTCCACTGGCAGCGCCTCAAGAGGCACTGGCTCTGCTTCTATAAAGTCAGACTCAGTTGGCTGCAGCAGCTGGCCAGGAAGCAGCTGTTGTACGGGGGCCCCTATGAAGTAGGCTTCTTGCTGCAGCTCCCCTTCTTGCATCTCTTGCTGCTGCTGCTGCTCCGTGCACTCAGACGCCTCCGCAGGAGTTGCTTCCCTGCTGCTTATTTTGTAAGTTTCGAGGCGCAGAGATCTGCTGCTGCTCTGCTGCGACGCAGTTTGCTGCGCTGCGCAGCAGGAAGAAGAGCTCCTTCTCGCGCTCTGCTGCTGCCGCTGCTGCTGCTGCTGCTGCTGCAGCTGCTGCAGCTCCGGCTCCTCCGGGACCACGTCAAATATGCTGATTGAAATGGGCTGAGGCACTGCGGCCTCTAAGGCCCGGCTGTTTTCGCTCAGGAGGAATTGCTCTTGCTGCGGCTGCTGCTGCTGCTGTTGCTTCGCTTGCTGCTCCAGCTGCTGCTGCTGCTGCCGATTTGCTGATGACGGGGCCTCAGAACCTTGGCGAGGGAGACATGAAGCACTAACGGAGAACCAGCACTCAGCATATTTTGCTGCAGCAGGAACTTTTTTGTGGGGTCCTTCAGCTCTGGGAAGCTGCTCCTCTGGGGCTGCTGCTGCTGCCTGGCTGCAACAGCTGCTGCTGCTGCTGCAGCGCTGGTGCCACCTTGCGGAGGCGCAGTCTTCTGACTGTTCTGCTGCTTCTCTTTTCTCTGTTTCTGTGTCAATCTGCTGCTCGTCTGCTGCAGCAGCAGCGGAGTTTTCTCGGGCTGTGTCTTCGCGCTGTGAAGCAGAGACGCCTCTGCTGCTGCCCTCAGCCGCTGCCGCTGCTGCAGCGGCTGCTTCGGCTTCCGCAGCCGCAGCAGCAGCAGCAGCAGCAGCACGTTCTCTCCGCGCTGCTACCCTTGCCAGCGCCCTAGCTGCTGTTTGCTGCGAGCAAATAGAAAGGCCAGAAGTGGCAGCAGGCAGCTCCTGCAGCGCAGCAGCAGATCTTGCTGAAGCAGCGGGAGAGATCTGCAGAGAAGCCGCTGCAGCAGGGGCCCCTGCATCCGCCTGCTGCAGCGGCTGCTGCAGCGGCTGCTGCAGCAGCAGCCTCTCCAGGCGGAGCTGGAGCTCTTCCTGCCGCTGTTCGAGCTGCTGGCGCGACTCTCCCCGCTGCTGCTGCTGCTGCTGCAGCAGCTGCTGCTGCTGCAGCAGCTGCTGCTGCTGCTGGCGCAGCGACCTGTACTCGAAGTTGAGCGTGACTGCGCTCTGCAAAGAGCTCCCCGAAGCCTCTCGCAGGAGGCAAGTCTTCTGCAGAGTTTGAGAAAAAGACTGGGGAGGTTTGGAATACTGAAAAGTGTTTTTGAATTGTCTTTTTCGGAGAAGTTCAGTGTGCGCAGGTGTATGTACAGCTGGCCGGAAAGCCACCAGCCGCCGCCTCTCCCGGTCTTTTTTGAATTGCGTCTGCAGCACAACAAAGCGCAGCGGCTCTTCCTCGAGTGCTTCATCTTCTGCTGCGCTGCTGCAGCGGGAAGCAGCAGCAGCAGCAGCAGCTTTCCAAGCAGCTCTTTTCAGGATCCGCAGCTTCACCGGAACCACGGGGCTTTTGCTGCTGCTGCTCTCCAGCGGCTGCTGCACCTTTTGCGGCCTCCGCACTTCGCACGCAACTACCTCTTCTGCTGCTTCTTCTTCTGCTGCTGCTTCTTCTGCTGCTGCTGCTCCCTCTTCCTCCTCCTTCTCCCCTGCTGCTGCTGCTGCTGCTGCTTCCGTCTGCGCCGCCTTGCCCCGTGAAAACCACGCAGACACCAGGCTCAGAAGGCCTCCCCCTGCTTCTTGCTGCTCCCCCTCCTCCTGCTGCTGCTCCTGCTGCTGCCCCTGCTGCTGCTGCTCCTGAGCTTCCTGCTGCTGCGCCTCCTGCTGCGTCTCCCGCTGCTGCTCGCCTGCTGCTGCTGCCACAGAAGCAGAGCGGGAGCCGCAGCAAGCGCATATTGCCACAGAAGGCCTCTCGATTGCTGCTTGCACAACTTCAATCTTTTGCTGCTCCGAAGAGCCGCAGCAAATGCAATAAAAGCGACCTCTCGAGGGGCAGCAACTCAAGTAGCCTTTGCCCTGCGCTTCCTCTGACTCTTCTTCCTGCTGCTGCTGCTGCTGCTGCTGCTGCTGCTGGTCCTGCTGCTCCTGGAGCCCATTATGCTGGGAGTCGGGGGTCCACCCCTGCTGCTGCTGCTGCTGCTGCGCATCCCCCATGTTGCTTTGCTGCTGAGGCTGCCACTGCCACTGCTGCTCCCACTGTTGCTGCTGCTCGTGGCTCCAAGGTTGCTGCGTCTGCTGCTGCTGTTGCTGCTGCTGGTCCCATTGTTGCTGCTGCGCAGCACTCCACGGCTGCTGCTGCTGCTGCTGTTCCCACTGCTGCTGCTGCGCCGGGCTCCACTGCTGTTGCTGCTGTTGGTCCCACTGCTGCTGCTGCGCCGGGCTCCACTGCTGCTGCTGCTCCCACTGTTGCTGCTGCTGCTCCCACTGTTGCTGCTGCTCAGGGCTCCACTGCTGTTCCTGCTGGTCCCACTGCTGCTGCTCATGAGTCGGCTGCTGCTGGAGCTGCTCAGGAGTCCACTGCTGCTGCTGCCCGTGTTGCTGCTGCTCCTGCTGCTCCCACTGTTCCTGCTGCTCGGCGCTCCACTGTTGCTGCAGCCCCCACTGCTGTTGCTGCTCAGGGGTCCACTGCTGCTGCTGGCTATTGTGTTCGCTTTGCTGCTGCTGTTGGTCCCACTGGTGGCGGTGCTCCGGCTGCCAGTTCTGCTGCTGCGGTTGCTGCTGCAGCTGCTGCTGCTGCTGCAGCTCCCACTGCTGGTAGCTCTCAGGGGTCCACTGCTGCTGCTGCTGGTCAAGTTTTTCGAGTTCCTGCTTGATTGGGGCGCGCTGCTGTTGCAGGTCCTGGGTTTGCTGCTGCTGCTCCTGCTGCAGCAGCTCCTCCTCGCGCTCTGCATCAGCAGCAGCAGGCTCTGCAGCAGCAGCAGCAGCAGCTAGGGCGTCCGAAGCAGCCTTTTTTGGGGGTTTTGCTGCGCGGCCGCCCACCGCAGCTCTGAAGAGCTGCAGCGCAGCAGCTGCTGCTGCCTGGGTGAAGCTGTACGTACACCTGGACTTTGTCTTTTTGACAGTTGGGGGTTTTCCGTTTTTCCATTCATAAGCCACAACTCTTCTTTTTTCATTATCAGCTTTTTGCTGCACTTGAAACAACTGAAAGTGCACTTTCCCATCTGCTGCAGCAGCAGCAGGACTCCCCAGCCGCAGCAGCTGCCGGGGGGGCCCCCGGGGGGCCCCCAGAATGCGCACCTTGACGGGTATTGCGGGTTTGCTGCAGCACGGGGTGTACGTACACCCCAAGCTGCTGGGCAGCTGCTGCGGCAGTTTCCGCAAAAAGGCATTTTTGTCATTTGTGGAAATTCCCACGGAGCCCGCGGGCAGCTCCCGCCGCACTTTCGCGCTCTTCGGGATCTCCCCTGCTGCTGCTGCTGCTGCTGCTGCTGCTG